GATAAAAAGCACCACATCCGCTTGACCGGGAGCATTAAAAGCATGACACCAGACCATTTTCCCCCCCAATAATTTAACCTTCCCCGCCACCATCTCCTTTGTCTCAGGCTGCCCCGCTCCATCCCCTGCTCACCTCACAAGAGCAGCTTGGCAGGCTGGAGGTCAGCTGAAATCCTCCCTCCCCAGCCCTCTGAAAGGCCTATATTTGATTACAACACTATATGATGTCACGTATCCAAGACAACTAAAGGCATTACGGTCTCCCGAGGACAAAACCGCCTCTCGGCCATAGATTTCGGCAAGCCAGGACCCGTTGTCTGCAGGGAAGAGCGGGCAGCTGCACCCCCCGACGATAAATGGCACCCAGAGATGCTCCCCCAGGGCAGCACCCATGTCAGGCAAGGCCCTTGGCTTGTAAAGGGGGGAAATTAAAAATAATTGTTTAAAAACCCATTAAAAAGGCAGTTATTGGCTTCTTGAAGCCAGCTTGAAAATAAACCGAACCAAAACAAAAACAGAAAACAAACACAACAGAAGGACTGGACAAGCCATAAGCTCAGGGGTTTCTTCTTAACCTTGGCATCGGTGGGCTCAAATAAGAGAGGTTTTCCAGGTGTTTGCTGAAATATTTCCAAGACTCTCTCATTTTAATGTCCCTTCAATGTCAATATTCTCCTTCACCCTGCAACATACTTAAAGGCTGGACGGGGAGGAGGGGGCAAGGTAATGAAAACCAATGAAAAGGTCCAAAAAGGTCCAATATTATGAAAAAATAAGAAATACTGCAAAATTTAAAAAGGGAATGGATTAAACCCTTATCATAGCCCAGGGAAGGGCAGGGAGTGAGAGAAAAGAGCTTTTATCTGAGATCTAACTTGCATGAAAAAAGTTTTCATTTCTTTACTAAGTACACATATACACACACACAAGTGGGTTTGTGATCGAAACAGTTACCTAAAATGAAAATGACAGGTCAACTCAGACATGCCCAGACCCCAAACCACACCCTGTGCACAGCCCAGAGCCTCTGGGCCATTTATTCCAGGGCTGCCTGTAGAGACTTTGCAATCGTGAAGCCTTTCCAAAGGCTGCAGTCACTGTTGGACCCAGTTCCCTGTGCCTCAGATTTAAAACATGCACATGAAAACAATCTAACAGAGAAAGTGGGAAGTGAAAAAACCCCCAAAACCCAGCAGTGAAATCTAAACTATTAAGGAAAACTCTTGGTGTCACAGAAAGGGGAAAAATGTGGTGGTGGTGGGGAAATGTGCTTTTAAGAAAAATGCTTTCCTGCCAATAGTAGCTTTTCAAAAGATGCCTTCAGCTCATGTTCCTTAAATTTAGTACACTGCATGCTAAATGGACTAAAATGCAAAAAAATGTAAGCCATTGATATGTTCACAAGTGAGCCATTTGAGCAAATGCCTTGCAAAATAATTCTGATGCTAATTCTCTTTCCAGGGTAACCCTTCCACGTGTTTCTCTACCATCCTCTTGAAAGAGAAAAGAATATAGCTACATTTCAGCTGGTGTCAGTACCAATTTACCAACACTAGAAAACTTAATGCTATCTTTTCCATCCACCTTTTCTGCCTTCTTCAGCCCTAAAGTACCAGAACTCCTGATTTTCAGCTGCAAAACAACAATTTGAAGCTTCGCCCCAAGTGACCCTCCAACAAGATTTTATTTAAAAGCATTATCAGAGCTGTACCACAAAGCCATCAGAACATTACCAGTACAGCTTCGTGATGGCAAAGATTTCACCGACTGCTCTTTCCCAGCTCCTGTTCCCAAAGTGCAAGTTTTCCTCCAGAGCCATGGGCACGGCAAAGCAATGCTCTTCACCACACTCACCTCCCTGGCCAACTTGCTCTTTGTTTTACTCTGCAACTGTTGAGCTTGGCTTTCTGTTTCAAAATTCCTTCATATCAGAATAATCCCTCTGCTCATAATGGTTGTGGCATAAAATTACCTTTGCTTCTATACGGTGACCTCATTGTGGAACAATTGGACCAAGCGGGTTTCCTGGATAGAAAAATGGCCCAGTTTAATCAGACAGGGTCTGTACATTGAGGTACACCTTCAGATGAAAGGCTACATAAGATACAAGTTTCTCTAAACATGGAAGAAAGGCAACTGTGCTAGCAAAACTAGACCGCCAAAGCGCAAGATGCCATGTGACCCTGCCCATATGGCATGGTCAAAAAGCCCAAAAGCATAATAGCTTGTACTTTTGACTACTCAGCATCCCTAAACCAAATCAAACTGGCTCATAACTGGCCTGGTGAAGGTCCTCACAGACCAGAGGATGTGGGATGAGTGATTGCTGTTGCTGCTTGGCAGCAAGCTTCCCAGCTCCCACTCACTCAGCTCTACTTCGTGTCAGTTTTCCAGTCGCTGGGCTCTCTCCACGTTCAGTAATTAGCTGTGAGGTGACCATATACTTGCCCCGAATCTAAGCACAATGCAATCCAGTGAGAGTGTTCAAAAAGAAGCAAGCAGGGGACCGCATGTGAACCAGGAAACTAAAAGTAGCTACAGGCTGCAAGATAGGAATGCACTGAAAATAATCTGATAAACGACACCTGAGCATGGTATCAAGATAAACTGCTCCAGGAGATGGGCTTTGGGAATCTATCCAGCCACACGTCACAAAGTCCACAATAAAAACGTGATGGTGATTCGTACGACGCACGTTGGTGGGACACCCAGATGCATAAGCAAAATAACACGAGGACCGAGCGGCATCACCTGCACACCGCCCATCCAGCACTTAACAGATGGAAAACGCCGTCATGCCGATGAAGTCAAAGGTACCCAGTGCTGCTGCCCAAAGGCACGTCGAGGCGTGCGGGTCTGGGGCTGCCGTGCAGAGAGCGGGGCTGTTGTCGGTGGGAGAGGAAGGCCAGCACAGGGCTGTAAGCGCCGTGGCTGGAGACTGGGGACCTGATCTCAGCCCAGCCCTGCATTTCAAACCCACCCCACCAGTGAGTTCAGAGAAGTGGTGTTAGATACCTTAAGACCACAACAGCCACCCTGCGAGGTGGCCAGAGCACATGGGTACTGCTGACCCAAGTAAACTGTGGTGGGATTTTCTGCCAGCTGGGTGAAAACATTCCCAATTTATAATCTAATCCTTACAGAGGGTGCAGAAGAGTAGGGATGGGGAGTAGTTGCTGCAGCAGCAGTAGCCAATCTAACGGAGTCTCTAACCTTTAAAGAAAAAGTAGAGAGCTCCAAGTCTAGTTTGAATATAACAGAAAAAAATTTGAACGCACTAGGAAAAAAAAAAAAAAAAAATCAAAATCCATATTGTTGACTTTTGGTATAAATCTTCTTATCTACACAAATTCCAGGCCTCTCTTAAAATGGTCCTGGTACTCAAGCAACCATTCGGTAACACAGCTATTCCCACCCCAGGCGCAACAGCTAGTCTTCCCGGTTGCCGACCGCGTGGAACCTCCGGGCACTCAGCAGCGCTCTCCAAAAGCAAGTGTGAGCCAGCCCTCGTGCTTCCGCAGCCGTTAGCATTTTACAGGGAGGAGGCAGAGTACCAGGGGTCACTGAGACACTGGCTGGCATCGGACAGCACTTCTTCCATATGACACAATTTATTACCGAAGCATGGGCGAGCGGTCTCCCGCTTGCTGATTTGTGTTTTGCAAGTACCCCGGAGCGCCGCTGCGTGCTTTCGCCGAGCACGGTGAAGATGGGATGGAGAGTTCGTCATCACACCGCATGCACCAAGTCAGAAGGCACGTGTAATACGACAGGGAACGAATAAACGCATATCACACATAAAAGTGCAGCCAGAAAACAGCGAAGCAGCATCTCAAGGTTTTCTTGTTTTACTTGTGGGTGTCTCCTCCGGGAGCCGAGGAAGCTGCCGCCTTCGGGAAGAGGCACGCTGCTGGCACCTGAGGGGACCCTCTCGGCCCTGCGGAGGGGGGTTTGCAGCCTACAAGCGCGCACTTGTCGGGAGGCGAAGCCACGCACGGGCGTGAGTCACCGAGAGCCGCCTCTCGGCGCAGGAAGTTGCCCAACACCATTTCAGCTGCCGAGCGGCGAGGCACACGCGCTAGGATGAGGCACTCGCTGCCTCTGTCTACTTCCCCCCCAAAAGTTACAATCAACGCAGTGACGAGCTTACACACAATACACCTCAGCAACGGGAGAGGGAGGAACAGCAGCAACAGCTGTGAAAAGAAAACTCGGAGCCAGCTGGAATAAAACGGACAGAATTTACACCTGTGCTAAAAGGTAGGAGCACGCATCCGTACTGCTGACGGCCTTTACTGACGGGGACTAAAGGCTGCTTTTCGTTGCCTTACAGCCAGGAAAGGAAACCTGTATTTCACACAGCTCGTTCTGCACCGCGGCGGTACAGTAAGACTATCCCACTGAAGGGAACAATGTTAAGAGATGCACAGCAGCGGTGACTGTGGTCACACCGTCACTCTTCTCAACACCCTGACTTTCTGTCACCCCACCAGCTATAATCCCACTGTCCCACTCATTTTGATAAGGAAATGTGAACCTGCATCTGGAAAAAGTCTCCCGAGTGCCTGGGGTGCATCTTCTCATAAATACTGGCTCCTTTTAACCCCATCAAGTAGCCAAGGAGCGACAACACGGGAGGAAGGTGGAATTACAACCCCAGTGAAACCAGCATAAAAACTTCAGCTGTTCTTATGGGAACCAACATTTCCGCACAAGAACTGCATTGTTTTCTCATCAGTTTAAACTAAATCCATACACAGCATCTTCGGGTGACAAACTATCTTGTTCACCGAAAGAGTTTGCCTTTGCTCAACGTGTCAAGTTTTCAAGTCTACTGCACTGAGCAGGCAGAGCCTGTGGTTAATAAAGATACTGAAATTCAGCTTGACATGCCCCTAAGCCTCCGTCCTCTTTCCCAGGCACTACACTCGCTCGCCAGGCAGTTCTTTTTCTTGTTCAACAGGACCATTACACATCCCTATATCTGCTCCATTACTTACTGGACTGGCACGTCCTGACACTGAGATAGTTGCTGGCAATGCTGGCGCCTTCCATCCCGAGCTCCCCAGAGGACACGGGAAGGCTCCTCAAGCAGAAAACCTGTGGCAGTTGGAGCTGTTGAGGCAGCACGCTCCTTGGTTGGTGTCCCTTTTGGATAAGAAAAAAAAAAAAATCTTACTCCTGGGCTGAGCAATCCCTGTGGAGCTCCTTCAGCACAGCCTCGGTGGCAGCACCCAAAGAAGATCACAACCTCATCCTCTGCTCAAGACACTACCAACAAAGACATCGATCGAGTTTTATTCTGGAAAGGTCCCCAAAAGCACTTGGGGCCGCATGCCTGAAGCGATACGGGGTCAGTGCCTCCTGCTCCCTCCTCCCCAGGACAGCGCGGCGGCATCTCCACCACGCTCTGCAAGCCTAAACACCGTGTTCAGCGGCACCGCTCAGCTCACGGGCACATTCAGAAAAAAAAAAAAAAACAGCACTAAGAGCACAGAAAAGTCCTACGCATATTTTAGGCAACTCAAACATACAAAGTGAGAATTACCATCGTCTCACTATTTCTACAAAACTCGAGTCACACAGCCGGACACAAGCAAGCCCCCGGCAGAAGCTGAACTGCAGCAGCAACACGCAGCCCAGCTCAGAACTAACAAACCCCGGCACTCAGGTAAGTTCACTGGCTCAAGCCCCGTGCCCTATATAGCTACTGCATAGCTTTCAGTTCAGAGTTCATGTGTCCTACTACCTTCTGCAGAGCTTGGGAAATGTGAGTTGGCACCTGTCAAGAGAAAAACAAAAAACAAAACAAAACACAAAACCCAACTGCAAACGAGTTCAAGTTTTCTGACATAATGCCAGATTAATTTTTCTTGTACAGATGTAGCATCACACTGGACTTCTCGGAGGGAGAAAAAGACCCCAAACCAAGAAATACAACAGAAGTTAAATGATTCATGTGTCAATATATTACAGCCCAACTGTTACCAAAGCCCTCCTAAATGCAAATCTACCAATAACAAGGTTTGAAGTGTCTGTGTGCATGTATAGATATATATATATATATATGTAGTACATACCAAATTATCTTGATTTCATAGGTTAGCCACAAACCGAGTTACCTTCACAACATTCAAATCCAACACAATCCAGCATTTTTAACTCTATATTTTGCATATAACGTCCACCCCTAGGCAGGCACCAGGATAGGGAGGTGAGTTCACTGGGCCCCGCTCAAGGTTACTCTTCATTTTCTGGCTTTACTCTTTGTCCTATTTACTCATTGTTTGGGCCTTGTCAGAATCCCAATCTTTAGAAACAAAAGCCAGTTTCCGCTCCCACACAAACTGGGAGAGCGGGCACGTTTGGGGGCCGAGCCAGGCGGGCAAGAGGGTGCCGCTCCTCAGCTGCCACCGTGCTTCGCTGCCCAACTCCACCAAGATCCCCCGAAAAAGCCAGAAAACTCCGAAGGGCCACGTGCGGATCCCAGCCTCGCCTCGAGCACTTCATGAGCCGTTTTCCAGTGTTTTACCCCAAAACGCGGGAGACCCGTAACGTGCCCCCCCCCCCCGCTTCCCTCTCGCCTCTGCAAACCACAGACCCCTCTGCACACCCGTGGGGGGATTCCCACCGATTTGGGGACAGCGGAGGGCACCGGAATAACGCCAAAAGGGGGTTTTTAGTTAGATAAACCGCTTGGAGGTTTTGTTGCGGTGACCCGGGGGCGAGGGGCACGGCGGGGCCGCGCTGCCGGGTCCTGCCCCGAGTGAACCCCGTCTCCACTCCCCCGGTTGGAAGCGCGTAAGAAGCGCGGGCCTGTGCTGCCTTGCGGGGTCACCCGCGTAAAACCCACGGACGGACGGACGGACGGACAGGCGGAAGCTCCGCGGAGCCGCGCCGGGAGGAGGAGCTGGGGGGGTGGGGGGGGTGGAGGGGCCCGCTCCCGCCGCGTGTGGGGAGGGAGGATGCGGGGGGGGTCCCCACGCACCGTGCGCACCCCCTCTCCACACGCATCGTCATCGAGCCCGGCTGAAGAGGAAGCGCCGCCGTCGCGCGTTGTCCCCACGCGGGGGGAGGGAGGGGGTGTCGCTTCCCCGCCTCCACGCGTGGGGCGCAAGCATCCCCAAGGGGGGGGGGGGGGGGGCACCAGGCACCACTCCCCTCCCCCCCCCCCCCCCCCACACACAAAGCACCAGCAGGACCCGCCGCCCCGCTCCCCGCGCTTTCCCATTTCCTCATGAAACCCTTCCAGAGCGTTAAAACAAACAAAAAAAAAAAAAAACAACCCGAAAACCCCCAAAACTAAACAAAAAAAAAAAGGAGGGGAAAAAGCAACAAAGCCATGCGTGGGGATGGGGGGGGGGGGGGGGGGGGGAAGGAGGAGGCGCCGCCGTCCCCACTCACCGCGGTCATGAAGCCGTGCGGCCGGCGGCGCGGACACAATATGGCAGCGGGGGGATGTGTCAGGGAGCAGCTGCTCCCTGCGCAGCGGCGGCGGCACCGCCCTCCCCGCCTCCCCATGGCAACCGGGAACAGCCCGCACGCCACCGCCCCCCCCGCCGCCGCCGGCACCGCCTCCCCGCCCCGCCCCGCCCCGCCGCCGGTTCGCGTCCCCCCCGGGGCCGGCGGGGCGGGGGGCGGCTGCCAGGCCCCGCGTCGTTCCCCCCCCCCGCCCCCAGGCATCCTCGCCGGCTGGGGAAAGTTTCATTTTCCGCCCCGAACACCTTCCTCTAAATCCCCAAATTTCAAACATAAACCCTCCTTTTAGTTTCACTTCCCTTTCCCCTCACCCATGCGCCTATTCCCGCCCGCCCCCCTCCCCCCTTTTTCCACATTTTTCTATTCCTCCCATGACATTAAACCCTTTTTTTTTTTTTTTTTTTTTTTTTAAAGATGAAGCCGCCGCCGTGTTTGCTCTGCCTTGTAGCACATTGTCCTCCACTCGTGCCTTTCGGCTTTAAGCTTTTCAGTGCGACAACTTCACTGTTTGCTTAGCGGGGTTTTTTATAGTGCTGCGTGCACTTGCAGGTTTACAGCACAATAAAGAGGACCTCAGGAAGCCGCTCTCAGGGAGAAATTTTCTTTTGCAGCTGATCCGCTGCTGCAAAAAAGTTTATTTGCCCTCCCAAGGTCTCCTTGCCTTCTGAAGGACGCTCAGCTTTCACCTGCCTCGTGATGCACTGCAGTAATTTTATCTATATGGGAGTATGGGAATGCGTTTCACGGAGATTCCCCCACTCCACATTAGCAGGAGCCAGTTGTTGGGTATTTTAAAATCTGAAATAATTTCACTGAACAATCTCTTGGGTATTTTAAGAGTGAGGATGAATCAGGCCCCGGGTTATAGCAGGCAGAACATTCTCCCAGGGGCGGAGGATCAAATCCAGCGGCAGGGAGGCTCAGCCCAGCACATACAGGCTCCATCCGCTGTGCCGTGAAGCACGAACAGCTTTGGAAACACAGTCCAACCACACAGTTTTGACCAAAATAAATTGTTCTCAGCAACTTTCATTTTGCTCCTACCTAATTTCCACTGATTGAATATACTATGATTCATTCAACCTTTATTTTTTCTTTTTACAGCTTCAGAAGTTATCTGGGCGCTTCCTACCCTCTTGGCGGACTCAGTGCACTTACGTTAATTATATGTTACCAAAGCCATCTAATGCTGAAAGCACCACTAAAAACAGACCTACCATTGCTGGTACCAGCAACGCTTTGCCCCTAAGAGGCTCTTTCGCCTAAATTCCCATCCCTCCGCCTCCCAGAAAGCCTGTGCTGGAGCTTGCCTTGCTGGCTACCACACCTCAGCTGCTTCAGCAGGAGGGAGGAGCGGGGCCGAGAGGAGCCTTGTTTGCCTGTTGGAATCAGGGTGTGTTGCTTTGCCTTTTGCCCGGCTGGGCGGCGACCTGAAAGAGAGATGTATGAATCCCTTCGGCCTCAATTTATTACTTGAAAGGTTCCGTCTGGGCCACAGAAGGCGGTACTCATTCTCAGCCCTTGATTGCATTTACACCCTGGCCTTTAAAACAGGGCTGCTCACAGATTTTCCCATTTAGCCCTTAAAAACGCAAGCTGAGTTCAGCAGGAATATACACCCTCTTACCCTTTATATTTTAGTGGAAGGTATACTAAACAAAACCTAAAAAGATAAAAGCTGAAAGTGCTCTGAAGTCACCACCCCTTGTGGAAACAAAAAATAAAACTTGGCCTTTGAACAAGCATTTTATTTAAATCAGGGTGTAGCAATTGAAATAAAATGCTTCTACATCTCCTGAAAAATGTTGTCACCTTTATCTTCATTGGTCCTCTTTACTCCTCAACATGTCCACAGTAGTTTTTTTTTGCTTTAAACCATTTTATGTTGTTAAAAATCCAGCAATTCTCAATAAAGGCAGTAACCAAGATTTGAATCTTTATGGAGTGCCTTCTGCATCAGGCCTTTACCTCCAAAACCAACCAGAGTTGCCTTCCCTCTTTGGCTGCCTGTGAAATGACCGGTGGTTGCAGCAGTGGATTTGGGGAAGGGGTCAAGGAAGGCCAAAGAATTCCCAGCACAACCCATAGGATGCCTCCAGCTTTCTACCTCATACCATACTCATCTCAATAATGCATCATAGGCAGAATTGCATCTTCTAGAGGTGCATGTTCAGTTGCAATTCTGCAGCAGCTCATCCGCGTAGTGTTGGAGGACCTGGACACGACCCAGCTCAGCTGGGGCACAGAGCATTTTGAATGGGCATTGCCAGGTCAGGTACTGGCTACAGGACAGGCACACACCATAGAAACGTGGTTCAGCGTCCCCAGCACCACAACGACGGTGGGGGGATGCTCCTCAAGGGTGTTCGCTCTCCCACCAGCTGCAGCCCCTGGGAGCAGCCCTACAAAAACCAGCACATTCCCACTGGAGCACTGTTTGCATCCCCAGGTGATGCTTCATTTCCACTCTGTGCTCTGCAGCAGCCCGGATCTGTGCCTGCAGCTCATGCAGGAGCCCGGGCACGCCAGGGCCCCGGGCTCTCCTGGTCCCCACCAAACACACGGCTGGAGAGAAGGGTAAGGACCCTTCATGAACAGGCAGGGACAGTCGTCCACTGCAGGCCTTTTTGGGTCATTATGGGGGCACTCACACCTCTCCTGACGTTTTCTTGCTCTGCTTGTCCTTGCCAGTACTGACTCCTGACTAGTGACCTCAGCCAGCATCAGGGTGCCTTCACCTGGCACCCAGGCAGCTGCCAGATGATCGAGAAACCTGTGTTTGTCTCTGATGTCCATACCAAGTTTGATCCCTGCTTCCTTACCATCATCCAGTTTGCCTGCTAAATCCTGTGTGTGATTTGTGAGAGAAAGAGGGAGCAGGTGGTGGAGGGCTGGGAGCAACAGCATCAGACAGAGCCAAGGCCACCGGTGTCATCCCGCCACGTGTTTGCTCACCCCTGGGAAGCTGGAGAGCCTTGGTGTGGAGGATGCTCTGCCACGCGACTCTGTATAAAATCCCCAAAAGCTGCTTGCTCCCAAATTTTGGATTGAAGGCATTAAACCATTCTTTCCTGCAATTTACCCTGTCCCACTGCGGCTGCTGGCAGTGCAAGCCCACACACCACCTTGGTCTCCCTCTCACTCCACCTCAGCTCTCTGCGGCAGGCAGGACAAGCACCAGAGCTACTGAAGGAAACCTACAGCAAAACGTCAACCAAGCAAAGCAGAACTCATCCAATAAACATGACAAGGACGTGGTGCTATTTCCCAGCACACACCTTTAAAATAGGCAGGAGGGGCATTAGACATGGTGCTTCCCCACAGGTCTCCGCACGGCTCCCCGGGATGTCCACGCAGCACCTCCTGCAGTGCCCCAAGGCAGGAGGTGTGGAGAAGATGGGAGTCAGGTGCTGAGGAGGTGGCAGGAGGTACCCCCCACCCTGCCTTTGTCACCTCCTGCTCAGAGCCCAGACAGACTGGGCAGAGGCTGCTGGTGCCTCCTGGCCTGGCTGCAGAGCTGTCCTTGAAGGTACTGCCCGCGCAAGGACACGCCGTGCCTGCTTTGCCAAGGCTGCTGTCATCGCTGCAGCTCTCCTTCCCAGCTCCTGCACGGTTTCTGCCAGAGGATAGCTGTCCTCTCCCCTTCAGGGTGCAGTCACGGCTCTGCTTGCCTTGCTCTCACCACAGGTGGTGAAATGCAAACAAAAAAAAAGAGTGAAAAAGAAGCAATTTGTTTTATATTTTTCTGCTCTGGGCAGAAAATAGGTCCTTCCACCTCTCCCATGCCAGGGTCAAAATTCTCAGACCTTCTCTCTTATCTTGATCTGAAGTGTTGATGGTAGATGGCATTTCTATGTACATCATGGAATAAGGCTTTCCCTAAGCAGAGAAGATGGTCATCCAGACCTGTTATGTGGAGGACAAACCCACTGGGAGGATGAAACCTGCCTCCCAGCAGCTGCAGCCTGCCTCTCCTGAGAGGAGAGGGCATGGCAGGGACTCCCTGTATCAGCCAGACCTGACCCTTGCCACGCAGCACCACAAAAGCACCTCCTCACCAAGCCAGTCACCCATCCTGTCATCTAAAGGAGGTGTGGGGAAGGGCAAGAAAGGAACCACTAAAAAGCAGAAGGGCAAGTGCTGGTGGTCCAGTGTCATGGGCGTGTGATACGAGAGCCAGCAAGCCCCAGCTACTGTGCCAGGATTTCTGCCACGTGTGTGAACGGTCAGCCAGGCTTCGTGGTGCCTCAGCACTGTGTGTTGTGACCTACAGCCGGTGTATCACCCTGCAGAAAGCCGGCATAAGAAAAGTTTGTGGGGTTAAACCACCCAAAGGAGCAAAACAGGGTGCTGTTTGCAGGATCTGGTTATCCCTTGCTTCTGCCCAGGGATGCCACTAGAGAAATGCCAGTCCAGCACTGGTTGGACACCTGCTTCTCCCAAGACTTCTTGTTGCAAGCAGCACCTCCGATTTGCATTGGCAGATTGTTTGAAGTTACAACTTCAAAAGGACTTCCTATTTCTCCAGGTGGGTGTGTGCCTACTCAGCTCCCACACTGTAACTTTCTGCTTGTGGTTTCTGTCTGGGAATGTCTCCCGCTTTGCTCTCTCCTACCACCAGTCTAGTCTAGCATTTGATCTCTTCCCTCGCCCCAGGCAAAGCCACGAGGGATACTGTGCAGTGCATGACTCGTCACATTTCTTCTCCCACCATCCTGTCACCTGCCACATTTGCTCACTCTTTCATCTCTTGCTACACCCTAAGTGGGACTCCGTGCTGAAGTTCTTGTTCAGATCTGGTTGTAGCTATATAGAGATAGGTCTGAAGTCCCTTATTTTAGGGACTGAATATGCTCTCTACTTTTTTATTTCCCCTTTAACAGCTCCTCCTAAGACTGAGGATCTGTCTCCCAAGACCCACTCTTCTCCACTGAATTTCTCTGCAGCATAGATCCAGAGCTCAAGCCAGCAGGTAACTATAAATCAAGCCCTAGGGGCT